GGAAAACAAAAACAACTACGAGTACCGTGTTATGATTATTCGTTTCGGTGACATTAGGTCACACACACAGTCACTGTTAATGAGCAGTCTCACTAACACTTGTGCTTCAAAGTTCCACCTTTGATTGTCAGAGGCGCTGTTATCAGTGACGTTTGACATTTGTATGGGAGAGGGGAACAGCTGCCAGTCATCTTGATTTGTAGTCTTCGCTAATACAGTACTAAGAAAACAAATTTTGGAACTCGGCTAGCTTAGCGGCTGCTGCGTTTGCTTACTGTTCATAAGATCATGAGTTTATTATTAAATTCCTCAAAAAAAAAAATCATATGCTTTTGGTTGTATTGCCTGGTTGAGGCGTATCCTGACCTAATACCGTACCCAATACTCCAACTCCGTAGTACTTATGAGGGTGTCACTAATTCGGTGGCCTCTCGTTGAGTAGGTACTACATCAACATTTCCTTTCCTATTTCTAGTTACGGCGTGGCCGGGAATAGTGACAGTCATGCTTTTGGTATTCTTGTTTAGACAATGGAAATAATGTTAATTTCCTAGCATTATTCCTGATCGCAGTCTGGCTAAGAATTTCAAAAGAGACGTGAGTGTCACTAGTATCCGAAGTATACCGCAGCAACACTGTCGCTAACGCTAATGTATTGATCTGAATAACATATAAAATCCTTCTCAAGAGCAGTTGTTGTCGACGTCGGTAAGATCACCGCTGGGATCGAAATCTAGTGACAGCAAGTTGAACGGGAACTTGATCGTAATTTTTCTTTGATTTAAGGAGCTCGTTGGCCTTCTGGCGACCAATTTTGCTTGCTTTTATCTGCCATTGATTTTTTTTTTCATCGCATTTTAGCCCGAAACAATGTGCCACTCGATAACATAGTTATTGAAAAGAACTTTAGTGCAAAGCAAGTGCATTTCAAAGTGTTTTTTATCAGCATCCTTTTCGTTAGAACTGTTATTAGGCGATTGGCAAGTTGGCCCGATGATTCTGATTGGATTGGAGGTGGATTGTGCAAGAGTTTCTTTGAATACCCGATGGAATGGTTTGAAGTGTTGAGCTTGAACTAGGAGCTGCAACAGTCTTCCAATTTTTTGCTTCACGGGCAAACCATCGTTCGTTTGATGCGATCGTTCCTGTTTATATATTCACCTGTTTCGGTTTCTGCAACTTTGTCTTAGACATCATTTCGAAGAGCCGCTTGCGTGCTGTATTTTGATGAGAAATGAAATGTCGAGTGCGCTATTGTCAAAGGTTGGGAACGAGTGGGTATGGCCAAGTTCCAACGTAGATTTGCCTATTGATTCATTCGGCTTTTTTCTGGTTTTAGACGTTTGATGTTTTGTACCTTAAAGTTCCATTTTTATGATCATGATTTGCCTGAAGAATTTTTGAACTAGCTTCGAAATAACCCGGAGAAGTATTGGAAGTGCCAGTAGTGCAGCAGGACTGAAATCTAGCTCTCACCTGTTCGTGTTAGGCGTTGGAAAATTTTGTGAGGTTTTATGAAGCACACAAAAGGAAAAGTTCGCGAGTCATTGTGAGTTTAAGCGAACTTTTCCTGTAGATTGATTAGAGACCCGTTTTTTTTAGTTTTTACACAAGGGAAGATAGAACTAGGGTTCCTTCCTCCTTTTTCTTACTCATACGGCCTTTCATTCAATTTTTTTTTCTTTTCAGAAATCGAGGAATGGCGCTATAACCATAAGCCATATAGGGAGCTAGTGCTCATTTCCCAACCACTCGAGGAAAATGGAGCATCATTTAACTTTTTTAGATTAGATGCTCCGAGCGACCAATCATTTATAACAACGGAACATACAGTATGTTCACGTTTCATCCATTTATTGGATTCAGAAGCATCGTGTTAAAATCTTTGATTTAAACAAGCTTGCTGTGTCTGAATCATCTTGCCCCTTAAATGCTGCACAGTAGGCCTGGCCGTTTAGATATATTTTGCGCATCTCTGATGTACAAAATATACCAAATAGACAAGAAAAAGGATGGAGGTATATCTATCATTTTCCAGGATGCTTTCATGAACTGGCTGTGTTGGTGTTAGATTAGATTAGAAAATGCGCATTCTGGAAAAACATGCATGTACGCTGCAGTCCATTGCAAGAACTGCCATTACTTTTGTTGTATGAAACATATACATAGGTTGTAATAAATCCAATCTTACATTGGATGTAACAGAAATTCGTTTTGCGTGTATCAACGATTTACCAGGGCCAATCTAAATGATCAAAATCAGTCCTATAAGTCCACCTGACCTACCGTGACATCTTTCAGCTTGCCATAACGGCCCTTATGATTGTGATCGTGCATACACACACACGATATCACATCAAAATCTAATCGGTCAAGTTCCAAGTCTACATTGATCGCAAATCGTGACATTTATTTTCGCCCTCAAAACGAATCATGCTTCAACATGAACAAAATCTTAACTCATCACACTTATCCAACCATGCCACCAAACCGAGCAACAGATCACGCGCGATCGAGGTCATCCCGACCGGTTGCAAATGGGAATCAAAAATAATGAAAACAAAATTCATGACCGCTGTCCGGGTGCAAATTCCACAATCTTCCATGCATATTTTCCTCTAGTAAATTCGAAAGCTGCACGATAATTAGGAATGATGGACGTTTCATCCATATCACACTGGTCATTGCTAAGCGCAGGGCTGGTAGCAGGTCACTATTTAGTGACTTGGTCACTATTTTCAAGTTAGTCACTAAAAAGTCACTTTTTTCATCAAAAAGTCACTAAGGTCACTATTCCTAAACATTTAGTCACTAAAGTCACATTTCTACAACCAATGTTGAGAGAAAAGAAATTGACTTTAAAAATTCACACCAATTCACAGCTTGATTTGGTAACAAATTTGTGATTCATTAAAAATCCAATTGTCCAATTTTGATTTTTTTTTTATCTAAAAAATGTCATAGACCTATCACAAATTGTCAGAGGTTTCGTCAAAGTTTCTGGAAGTTCAAGACCCAATATTCTGGCTATTTTACTTCGAGATCTTGAATGTTTTCCAAGCCTAAAATGTCAAAAAATGGTCAAGCTCTCGAGGTTTTTTCAAATGCCAGAAATTTGAAAAAAAAATCAGTGACACCCGGTAGCTTTAGTATTTGTCCAAACACCGAGAAAAACTACAAGGGCCCTACGGGGTTGTACGCAATGGTGACGTAGGACTACGTGGTCTTTAATAAATGCTTTTTGTTAACTGCAGCAGGAACTTGTGTTTTGTGTAGGAATAGTAATTTGAGCGGGGTTCTCTCTGTTTACACTCTTTAGCATGATTATGATTGCCATGAAAATAAATTTTTGATATGAATTTTAGTTGTGACATGTTCAGAAGTTTAACTCTTTTGGGAAATCTTGGCCGATGAGCTTACGGGCTTAAAGCCTTTGGAAAATGATGATGACGTGTAGGCAGCTGGATCAGCAAATCGGACCGGACAATCCCATATTCTTCGGTTCAATAATTGGGCACTCGCAAGAGTCTAGGACCGTGTGCTGCTGGAAAGGGCGTCTGTGACCGTTGGGAGGCCGCAGAATTTCTGTGTCCACCAAGATAAAGCTCCTCCCATTTTAAGTTTTTCTTGTTAAACTCCTTCGCAAGTTGGTAAATCTTAGCCTTTAGCAGAAAAAAAACGCTTAACACATTTTTAGGCGAATTTATGATCCTGTTTCGCTTCATGTCTTCTCTACTGCGCTAAATCAAGCGAGTAGAAATAAGAAGGGATGTCGGTTACACGCTCGAATAATTGAAAATTAAATAAATATTCAATCGAATAGCTGGAAAAAATCTCTACGATTAATCGTTAATCAAATAAATGGACTTTTAGGCATCGCTAGAAAATAGTGTAATTTCATGTTTTTGGTGGTCCTTCAAAAATGTCGAACATCAAAATTGCTGCCAGCAAGTGTAACCCAAGAACCAAAAGCGGTGCGATGCTAGTTTTCATTGCTATGACGATGACTGAATTAAGGGGCTTAGAAGCAGAGGGGTGAAAGTCAATTCTATTCATCGATTTTCTCTTTTGATGACCATGGCTTCACTAACCAATTTCGCACTGTTTCTGCTATGCTCTTCTGTCATCCAGAACAACAAACGTACCAATGAATGTGTTTGCCGTCGTGTTATCAACAAAACAGAAAGTCGATGAAGAGAATCGATCAAAATCACTTGCACCCCTGCTTCCAAGTTTGGTTACAAGATTACAACTCTGGAGAGCATTTTATGTGGTCGTTGGGGGCGTGTGGTTCTGAATATGGCGATGAGTGTGCAAAATGATACGCAATTGCATTCTCCCTATTCGCACACGCCCGAAGATCGAAGGCGAATGCCACTTCGACTTGTTTCGTCTACTAACGACTCTCTGATGACAGTGTTGGGGAAGCAGCAATGCTACATCGACATGTTTCGTCTAGAAACGATTCTCTGAAGACTGTGTTGGGGGATCAGCAAATGCATGTACGTAATTGAGGGATTTGTTAGTTATTTCGACGCTTTTGGGCAATGGTTATCACTTACAAAGCATTGCTATCGATGCGTGGAAATATTTCTGATCGATTAGTGATAAAATTATTGAAATTGATCCAGGAGCAGCTGAGTTATTAACGTTCAAAATATTTCATAATTTCGTTACATGTTCCATTTTTGGTTTTCACAAAGTGTATATTTTTTGTTTCCTTTTTACGTCCATTAATCGGCCTTCGCTTTACTAATTTTAGTATTAAGTCAATTTGTTAAACAAAACTGAATTTCGACTCCGTAAAACTACTGCAAGTGAGCCTGAACAATTAAGCCAACTACCAAAAAAAACATTGTGCCAAGTTACATGGAAATTGGACAGGTTCGATTCTGAAATTCGTTCGCTCGTTAGGACTTCCTTCAACCTTCATCGTCTCAAAAGTTAAAGGTACTATTATCTAGCTAAAAATCTACCTCACTCTCTCTCTCCCCCCACAGCAATCGGAGATCCCCCGAACGTACGTTAAGGCCCCACCGAACAAAACGGTACGGGACGTCCCGGCCCAGTACCAGTCGGGTGCGTCGTCCACGTCGTCGTCCATGAGCAATCTCAACAGCCACCTGCGAGGAGGAGTAGGCGGATCGGTAGCGATGAGTCACTCGCTCAGCGGTGGTGTCAGTCTGGGCAACCGGGCGATAGTCAACAGTCTGTCGGCACTGGGTGGTGGAAACGGTTCATCCAGCACCGGTGGCAACAGCACCAGCGGCAGCAGCAGCAACAGCAGCAGCAAACCCAAGTCTGACAAGCTGAAAGAAATCCTGCGATCCCTGACAGGTAACAAAACATCTAAATCATCCACTAGTGGTATTAACATAAGTAGTAGTAGTAGTAATAACAATTATAATAATAATAATGGAACTATAAGTAGCAGTTCTAGTTGTAATAACAACAATTATCGAAGCAATCCCTACGGGAATGGAAGTGTGGTCGGGTCGAGTGGAAGTCGGAGTGGGTTGGGTTCTTCTAACGGTGGAAACCATCTAGCAGTAAGTGGAATTCATAATCATAATCATCACTACCGGCAATCGACAGCGTCGGTACAGCAGCGGCAGCATCAACAGACTCAGCAGAGCGGGTTATCCTCGTCGGTTCCGAATGCCTCCTCGGGGTCCTCGCTCGGTGGCAGCAATACGCCAATGTCCTTATCCGCCAGTCCCAGCCCGGATACGAGCACGCACTACATGTGACAGGATGGCCGGTCGCTACAGGATAGTTGAAATGTTGATCCGGATCATGCCGATGATCTGTTTCCTTTTTTATTCGTAAAGCTAGCTAATCGATGTCGTGATAATATTTGTGATTCTGATTGCAAGGATAGATGCGAAGGACAGCCAGGAAGAAAGGAAGGTGCTGCTACTGCTGAGGCTGCGACCGTTGAGGTCCCTCTGAGATGTTCATATTCTGTGCCGTCTGGTCGTAGTAGTCATAGACCTCCGGGAGCAAAGTGGAAACAGCTCCCGTCGGGTGGATCAGCAGTAGGCGGTGATGGTTTCCGTCGCTGCACCGACGCTGGCGCCGGTTGCCATGTGATGGAACTCGAGTGTGATGACAGGTTGTAAACAAAGAATTCAAAGTGTTCAGGCTTTTCGGTGACTATGAGGCTTAGGTTGCAGATTTCAAAATTTAAAACTTGGATTCGAAAATAAGAATGGTTTTCCGGGCATTTCAAAACATTTTCCCACAGTCACGATACAAGCTAAGGAAAGATTTCTCGTCCAAAATCAAAAAAATTCAGCAGCCAATTTACTTTCTGCAAATCGGAAAACAAATCAAGTACAAATGTCATCTCTCGTATTCGTAGTAGGCTTCGGACAAACGATCTCACTGCGATTTTATAACACATAGCTAGAAATAAATTATTGTTTGTTTTCCGTTCTGAGAACTCAATCAAATCCGCACCACCACCTGCCACCGACTACTAAATTCACAAAGATGCAACAGAAAACAAAATAATAGAAACTTCCAGTATCAATCAGTTGTACATTTTCTTTCTGTCGCGCGCAGCGTAGATATCCGCACTGTCCCCCGAAAAATCCCAAACTTTTTAAAGTAACTATATTTTACTGTAGCAAGTAAGGTGTAAACAGTAAGTAAAAGTAATAAAAAAAAGTATCAAATCCATGTGCAAGACTACCATTTAGTAAAGTGTGCAACCAAAACGACGAATGAGTAACTACTATCAGTAACGGAAGGTTAATAAAGCAAAACTGAAACATAAAAAAAAAACTGCATGAACATTAAGTAAAAATGACAGCCTTTTCCGGCCTTCGTTTCCCCGAAGGAAGAGAATGAAAAATACTAGCGAAATTTTATTATTTGTTAAGTTAAATTATTTAATTCTAAATCAATTGTATTGGCTGGTAGGAGCAAGACACCCCTCAATAGCCCTAACAAAAGAATGCATTGATGAACTAAGAACTACAATAGAACAGCAACAATCCGCTTCTTTATCAATCCAGGTTACAGTGAAACACTATAATAGTAATGCGAAATGTGGAAAACAAATAGCTCAACTACTACAGAAATACAATAATTATATAATGCACAGAGATGATGGAAATATAAATAAACACTCACATATAGACACACACAAAAGCAACAGGCAGACCCGTAAAATAATAAAAAAAAACACTCACTCATACACAAACACACCGCAAAGAGATAAATTATACGCAAATAACAAAACAGTATACTGCAAAATAAAACAAAATAAGTAGAACGCTTTTTTGTCAATAGCAACAGCTGTTTGGGAGTAACATTACCCTATCCTTGCTACACTACTGCCACCAGTACGCTCATTTCATGGAACCGGACCATCTCTGCTCTCTTGCGAGCAAAACTATTACGGACACTCGGTTGGGGGTCCACAAACACAGCACATTCGTTCATCCCTCATTCACATTACCCTATTTTCACAATATAGTCCAACATACAATTTATTCGCATATTTACAAAATCCATTACGCATCACACCATCATCCTCAAGAGTCAGAGCCTACTGAGGCGTCCCAGCTTGATCGGTTCGGTGTTCAAGGCATAGTGACGTCATCAATGCCGATCTCGTGATCGTTACCGTTGCCCGCAAGAGAGAAGAGATGGACTGATTCCATGGAATGAGCATACCGGTGGCAGTAGCGTAGCTAGGCTAGGGTGAGGCTACTCCCAAACAACAGCAATCGATAAACTACAACTATTACTATAAACTACTACTACATACTACCGAAATTACTTCTGCAAAATCTTACCACTACAGCAACAAAAAAGCAAAGAAATAGAAAACAAACTACTACAAACAGCAGCAGCAACAAACAAACAAACAAACAAACAAACCAACTACACAAACACACTACTATACCACTTACATAAATCACATGGCTGGGAATGTGTAATCTTTCTATTTAAAGCAAATCAACCGTGAACGAAGGTGTAAGTGGGAGGGAGGGAGTTAGGGAGAGAGAGCGCGAGATTGAGGAAAAAATGAGAGCAGGAGGACAATAGTTTTAACACAAATAGGCAAAGGAAACAAGTACACTAGGCAAAAGGTGGGAAGGTAATAATTCAGTTTAAGTTTAGTAAAACGGGAAGAAAAAGGATGAATAGGGAACGAGCATGCGTCTGGTGTGTATTCGTATTTTGTGTTGAGTGTAGCAAAGCGCGTGTGTCAGTTGATTCTGTTTTCGAGATAGGAGTGAGAGGTAAGATAAGTTGAGCCGACGTTTTTTTTTTTTTTTATTTATATTTTTTGTGAACGTAGAAAATGGAAAAGCTTACGGTTGGAAGTTGTTTCGCGAATGAATTGTGATAATTTACCAAATTGAATATGAAACAAAAAATAAACACACTTTTTTACTCATATAAACTTTAGGAGGAATATAAAAATTCGAAATTTAGATTTGTTCATTAGTTTCGGAACGATGCCACGTATAAAAAATAAGCACTGGAAACGGAAAATGTAGGAATTAGGGAAACGATATTTCAAAATTTGCAGCTGAATGTCAACCAAACTATCAAAATCGCAGTCTGTTAGGCTTTTGAAAGCATATGTAGGTTACACGTACACGTCATGACGTTCCACACGCGGGATTAAAAGACGGAGGAGCGGAGGAATGCGACGCAGTTTATTTCATAAACTAAATTTAAGGTAAAAGAAAGTGAAATTGTGATATATACAAGGTAAAGAATTAAAAACAACACGGAAAAAAAACCTACTAAGCGGTGTTCATTACGTATAAACGGAAAAAAAATAAGGGAATGTAGAGTAAAGTAATTTTAATCGAGCGGTTTTCGTGTTTCCACACTGAAAGAAAACAGCTTCGATAATTGATGGCGATCGCATGTCAGACGGAAAACAATTAGAAGAAAAATCAAATGGTCGTGAACCGGATGGCGACGGATGCAGTCAACATTGTTGTGTTTGATTTCTTTATTTTTGCGAAGAAGTGAAGCGAATCCGCGTAAAGTGCTACGGAAAAATGGTGGTGAGTGGTAGAAGGTCACTTTGAAACTTAAATGCACTTTTCTCAGATGCCACAAATCATACAGCAAAGGTATTATAGTGCCATACCGGCTGTGAACATGGATTTACGATAGTATCATTTGTATTTGTACTGGTTTATTTGATAAATCAACTAAATGAATAAAACTTAAACTAATTAGTTACGGTCCACGGTACGACAGAGGTCAAGTAGCCGATGAATTGATTGATCGGATTGGCTCATGTACTGCATAATTTCTGCTACGTAGTTCCGACAACAGAAAGTCACGTTGACGAAGAGGTCTCTCGGGGGCGTACAGATTTAGCTGTGCCAGCAATGTTGAACAATCGATGTCACCTAGAAGCAGCTTTCCAGCGATCATAGCTTGAGCGACTGTCCGTCTCACCTCTAGTGGTTCGATGCTCAGAAGACGGCAACGCTCCTCGTACGGTGGCAGGTTCGTCGGGTCACACCAACGAAGAGCATATCTTACAAACTTCCGTTGAACGTATTCAATTCTAGCGATCCAGTTGGCATGGAAAGGACACCAAACAACAGAACTGGACTCTAATAAAGACCGCACAAGTGAGCAGTAATGTGACCTGAGGCATAGCGGATCACGAAACCTGGCGGCAGTTTTGAAAATAAAGCCTTGGGCAATAATATTATTGTAGTGGATTTTGAATGTGAGTCCGCAATCAAGGATAACACCGAGGTCCTTAATGTGCTGTACACGAGCAAGACAACGTCCAAAAAGGACAAAGTCAAATCTCACCAACGAACAAGATCGCGCTTGATTTTCGTAGACAATAATCAACAAGCAAACAACTGCGGTTGATATTGCAAGCAGGGTTGCCACATTTAAATCTGTATTTCTTCTGAAAAAAATCTGTAAATCTGTATCTTGATGCAAAAAATCTGTATTTAAAATCTGCATCAATCGTTGAACAAATATTATGAAAAATGCTACCGTAAAAAAATTGTTATTAGAAATTTTACTTTACTGAGCATATATTCCCAATTCATCAAAAAATTTGCATCCATACTAATAACCAACTAATTAATAGCTGATGTAATAAATTCTTTAATTTCAAATATTTTCAAACACCGAGCCTTGCACAGTTGAAAACTATTTGCTTTCCGCATAAATAACTGAATTCTTCTAGGTAAACAAAACATTTTATATTAAGTGTACCTCTTATAATGTATAATGTATATTGAACACACACTTTCTGTCATTTCGATATCATCATATTTTTGACAGAGAGGATCTTGAACTAATATTTGTTTAAGCTATTTAGTCAATTTTCAGAACATAAAGTCAATATCCTAAAGAAGCTTTAAGCTACTGGATGAACATAAAAACAACTCAGAAATTGGTAATGTTTATAAATTATCCCACTAAAGTTTTATGTAGCATTTCCAACCAACTCTGAAAATCGTACATTTCACGAATGAAGTAGCAAAAACACTTTGAATGGTAATGTATTTTGTGCACACTGAATACAATGTATGCTCAATGAAAACTTAAATCGTACTATGATCTAAAAATAATTAGGACATTTATTTGGAATTCAGTAAAAATCTGTATAATCTGTATTTTAGATAAAAATCTGTAAATCTGTATATACAGATTCTTGGTCCTGAAATGATCCAGAAAATCTGTAAAATACAGAATAATCTGTATATGTGGCAACCCTGATTGCAAGCTGTGATATCGCAGCTCGGAATATCAAGCTAACAAAACTCACCAGCTGCAAATCTCACCAAACTATGGTGAGATTGAGTGTCATGATTTTTGCTTTACACCCGAACGCAACCGAAACTTCCGTAACGGCTGGCAACAGTCGCTTCGTGTCTGCCATCGGTGAAGAGAAAAAAGAGATGGCATTATTATACCTTCTCTTTCTAGAAAAACGAGGTGCAATGGAATCATTTTTGCGTCGATTTTAACTCTCAGCTTCAACTTTACACGTTGTGAATAGTCTCACAACATCAAAGAAGCTTGAAAAATCAATATCAAGCATGATATTGAGAGCGTATGAGAGCGGAAAAATATCAATTTGCTAATGATTATCCCATCACTGGTCAGCACAAATATATATCACATTCTGCAGATCCCATCAGTTCGAGAGGCTTTTTATAATTTTGCAGATTTTATGTATCATCTGCGTAGAGGAGGCGGCAACCTGATGGTAGCATGAAAGTGACGTCGTGTAAACAGTAGCTGCCTTCCGGGACTCCTGAGTAGTTTGAAAAAACTTCCGATTCTGACGTGCCAATCTTGATCCGTACAGAGCGGCGCACCAAGTAAGATCTGAACCAATCCACACCTATTGACGAGGCGCCGAGTATCTTCAAGCAAGATTTCATGGTCCACCGTGCCAAATGCGGCCAAATACGCAGCATCGACTTGCCATCCAGAATTCAAGCATCGCAAACAGTTATAGGTAAACTGCAGCAGGTTCGTGGATACCGAGCGCTTCGGATAGAAGCCGTGTTGATCCGTATCGATTTAATTTTTACAGTACACGAACATAGCATCTTTTATAATTATCTCGAATTGTTTTGAACAGGCGCACAGGGAGGGTATTCCCCGATATTTAGCGACATTCCGTTTGTCTCCTTTTTAAAAATTGGAAACAGATAAGAAAGTTACAAGCGGAAGGCAGAAATTGACTGCACATCGTTTCAGAATTGACGAAGGACCGAGAGCTTCAGTTTGCGAAAGAAGACATGGGTAATGCGAGGAATATCAAAACTAAACGCATCATGTGGCATCCCAACAGTAGCATCCGGCACTTGTGTCGGTGAAGCGAAGAAATTGTGGAACACTTGCTTGGAATGTCGAACAAACAGGTTGCATTTCTCACTTCCGCTATCGGTCGTGTCATTTCCGAGAAACATGCCACAAGGCATCCCGGATTCCTTCCGTTTGGAGTTAACAAACGAGCAAAAACTTTTCGGGCTCAAGCGAAGATTCACTTCCGTGCGTCTCACGTGTCGATTGTAAAGGAAATGATTGTATTCTCGATAGCGATGACTTGCGAAATTGAACAGTCGTTTGTAGTACGGTGAACGAGAGTTGCAGTACTTTCGGAGTGCAGTTGACGCTTTAGCGCGTGTAGGTGTGGGTTCGCCCACGAAGCACATTGTTCAATGCAACGAAACCAGACCGGCAAAAGTCCAAAGAGTAGCACTCAGATGGTGGCGTATAAACAATCGGAGTAGGTACCCCGAATGACACGACGTGAGCGGGATGGTCAGCATCTAGACCGATCAGTGGCTCGACCGGCAAAGAAACAGAAGTGCCCGATATCGCTGAATCATTTGCCAGGACAAGATCTAGCAAACGTCCGTTTCGGTTCGGAAAAGTGTTTACTTGAGTAAACCCGTGTAAGTTAATTCCGTCCAAAAGAGCACAGCAACCAGCTTGGTTGTAGTCGCCAGGTAGGAGAGAATATCCGTACCATAGACCCCCGGTAATCTGAACGTTCTTAATCTGCACACTTTTTAGCTTTAACCCCGCTAATCTGCACGCCGTGCAAACTAAAAATTGCTCAAACGTCATCTATCACATGGAACAGAGAAAAGCGAAAAGAAACGTTGCGAAACGGAACGCAGAATCAAAACAAAACTGCATATAAGGCTACCAGAAACTCGCTTTTCTGCTGGTCGTAGGATTACTAGTAGTTCAAATTAAAAATGAACCCCGTGATATGCACGTAGTGTCGTTCAGATTAACGAGGGTCCACGGAATTTTGGAAGATGTACTGAACAGCTACTGATCTAGTGGGTATCAAAGATTTTAAATATTGAGAATTAACATTAACTGCTCATACCGAACTCGGTTCCGGAGTCTAAACAACCTATAATTAAAGCACATCTCAGCAACATTCATTTCGGAAAATACCCTAAAATGCTACGTCATTGATGCATTTTGAAAACCTGGTTAGCTTGGAAAATAAGCTCCTCAGTCAAGTT